CTTCATATTTAAGGAGAATATTATATATTCTAAAAGCTGGCCTCAACCACTGTGAATATAGATGCTGTTCAGCATGCCTTCTTGACCTAGTCTAGAAAGGACTACCTAATGATTGATTTTACATATAGATATAACAGAACCTCTATACATTTTTCTGAGCACTGCTGCTCCACTCCTGGTTTTAGATCACCCAGTCCAGTGCTCTCTCCTATCTGAACTGTTTGAAAATCAGTTGATACAGCCAGCAACTGTCTATGACAGGCAGGGGACAGGTCTGTGAAAGGCTATTTGGATGTGCAGCTTCATGCCATCACCCAGTTTCTGCTCTGTTTATTTGGCAGAAAAGTTGTCACCTGGGCTCTCTGCATCTCGTACCTCATCAGTTATCAGGCAGAACACACGTCACGTAAGTCTGAGTGGAAAGAGTAGTGCTGCAGTCTCTGATTGCACGATTCCCTAAAAATTATGGGAATTGTCATAATATCTGATAGGGCTCCACTGACTATATGAGACTTTTCCTCCCAAAAAAGAACAGGAGCTGAGGGACACAAATTTGGCTTCGCAATACCACAGTATATTCACTCACAGCAAGATCAAAGACTTGCCCAGGAGTGGGTCCCAGTTCAGAGACCGGCTGTGCACTGGCTGCGCACAGTGCCTGGAGGTCTGGAAGCTGTGGGGCTGCCATCAGTGCTAGCTCTGCGCTGAAGGGAGTTGTTGACATGTTCACACTGAGATCCAGCAGCATGCAGCACATGAGCCCTGCTCCTGGAGGGATATGGGATCTGTGTACATAGGCTAGCTCTCACTCATTTCTCTTCTAGCCTTTGTCGTGTGTGCTGCAAAAGCCCTTTACAGTTTAGTGCCTTACAAGTAAGTATACAAGTAAGTACAGTTTCTCCGTAGAAACACCTTGCATTATTGGCAGAACAGAGCAGGAAATAAACTTCTGGGCTCCCCATTTATTTTCTGTTTCTTTTGTTTTGCCTCCTTTGAAAGCCTGTAGCTTCACTTCCGTCTTCCCTACTTTGCCTCCTTTTCTGTCCTGAAACATTTGTTTTCTTTTGGGTTGTTTTTTTTCCCCCCTAGTCCTTGCAAAGATGAAAATACTTAAGGATATGGATATAGTTCAGGGCCTGAAGAGAAACTCAAAAACGCAGAAGACGTTTACCAACTCCTGCTCAATCAAGAAATCTTATTTTCAAGAGAACATGTTTGAATTTTTTAGCTCAAAGCACTCACCTCACAATAGCATAACATAGTGTCAGTAATAGGATTCAAAGGGTTGTTTTTTGAGATGGACATTAATCTCCTCCCACTAGACACTGGCATTGGCCTCGTTGCCTCCATTTCTGCTAAAGGCAGACCTATAAATCCCAGCAGTCACTTGCAAGGTTGCTTAACATTTGCATTTTGAAGCTGTCTCTTCATTTCCACTTCCTTTTTAGATCTGAATATAACATTTAGATAGTTCAGAGCTGGTTTGGGCTTTCCTTGACTGTGTTTTGCAACAATAGTGCATTGGCTGGAAGAACGTTGAAAGTTGTCATGCCTGCCACAGACAAGCCTGAAAAGAAGAGGCAAAGCTTAAATTACACCTCTCTTCTTCCCAGGTTTAGACTTTTGGGGATCTAAAATCTAAAAAAAAAAAAAAAAAAAAAAAAAAAAAAAAAAAAAAAAAAGGCATACTCTTACATGAAACGTTTACTTCAGCATTTATGGCTTACTTTGTAATCTAAATAGCAAAAGCAATGCTCAGGCTTCAATTCTGCCTCAAAAACTGATCTCCTTTTTCAGAAATGTTAGTGCTTCATGAGATAGGTACTCAAACACCAATACAAATACCAGACAACACGTAGCTGCTTAAGTTCTGAAACAGAGCTGGTCAAATATATTTAATCCATTATGCCAGAGGCCAGGCTGCCCTTTGATCAGCTCCCTGGATAAGGAAAAATTCTCTTTGACTAAATTCCCACTGCAGCAATTGCACTGGGAATCTTACAAACAAGCATTGCATCAAGCCTTTCCCAGCCTGGCTGAAAAGTTGCTTGCTGCTAGGTATTGAAAAATCACTCTCCTGGCTCTTTCACCTTGAATGAATACGATCCTTGAATGGCACAGGATTTCCTCACATCCCTCACCCTCCCTTGGCTTTGTGGGAATGCCTCTGAAAGACCAGTGATTACTTCCCTTCTAAAAAAAAATGAGACTGGGGGCTTCTGCTCTCAGGGTTGTCCTCCTTCGTAAGGCTTCACAGGGAAGTTTCATTGCTTTCTGGGAGTATTGTACACAAAAACTACAGTTTCTGCCATATCACATAAATCTTTCTTCCCAAGAATATAAATTGTATAAAGATTAAATTTCAAGAGAATGATCAATAGCAGGTATAATGGTGTTGACAGCACTTTCCTTCTAATTAATTGAATTCTAAATATGGAAAGGTTATTCCTGGCTCTGGATCAGTATTGTAATTACCTAGCTAAGGATCAGTACTCTTGGGTAATTTAACACGTCTTGCTTACCTAGCTCAAACTAAGGCAGGGCAGTTTTAGTGCCATTCAAGAAGTAGCCTGTGCTATAGAAAGCAATCACTATTTAAAAAACAACATTAGAATAGTGTTTTAAAAGTACATTTACTACCAAGTAGGGGCCTACCACCATGACAACGAACAAATGTGGTATGAATTCCCACTTTGAAAGTGGGAATTTAAATGAGTCCTTCAAACAGATAGCAGGAAGCGGGAGTAGTCTACTACTTTTTAAAAAGTAAAGTTAGAGCCTACAGCAGCAGCAAGAAGCTGTAACAGAACTGAAGGGACAGCCACCTCAATGGCAAGCTCCGCATTTAAACATACTCTATACTGTAAGCTTCAGATTGAATATAGTATGGCTATCTAGGTATATTTGATGTCAGACTTGGAATTATGCAGTCACTTCAAAAAACTACCTCTTACAAAACTTTGCACCAGTATCTGAAGTAGTCTGTTAATCTGATGAGGACCTTTGAATTAAGAGAGTGAGGCACGCTTGAATTTGATATAGACCAGCAAGAAGTTAAAGTTGAAGCAAACCTTTCCTAAAAGTCTATAGCATGATTAACCTTCACGCAGTCAATACTTCACAATGCTTAAAATAAGGAACCCCAGGGCTGATAGCTTAATCTTGCAAAAGCACAGGAAGTCCTAGTACTGGCTAGTAGATCTGCAACATGCAGTTCTAATTTTAAGCCCTAGCTGAAACACTGCCCGGAAGCTGAAATTTGATTTATTTATGGCTAACAAAAACAGGTGAAAGAAGAGACTAACATTTCTGATACTCCCAAATCTCTGTGTAATCTTTTTTCCCCAAGCAGTACTGCTCTTCCATATGAGAGAACCACTCTGAGAGGTTCTGTAGAGACAGTTAACAATAATGCTTCCCCTTTAGTTTAATGGATTATAGCAGGGTTACTCTTGTGGCAGAAGTTCTCAAGTTCTCCTTTCTATTAGTACATAGGGTCACCTTAACACATTTTATAATCACTGTATTACCCTGTAGCAAAGATTTTGCAATGGACTAGGAAGTTTGTGCAACAAGTCTCAGAAACGTGGCTTGGACATCTCCTCAAGGAATATGGAAATCAATACAAGATTTAACAACTGTAAATCAGTAACTGGAAATTTCAAAGAATTCTTTGAAATATTAGGGAACCTATTACGTTATTGTGTGTTAAAGAGTATTTTAACATCAATTCTCTCTCTTTCTTTTTTTAAGAGTAAGTATTCTTTATGGTATTCTGCTTGTCCTATTTCAATTGCTTTATTTCTAAGACAGATGCAAACAGTGTAAGCTTCTAAATCTTCCTTGAGCATTTACCTTTGCCTTACCTTTATGTTTGTTAATTTTTCACTCAAAACTGTTCCCTGCAATCTAACAGAAACCTGATAAGTGCCATTCCTCTATACTTTTTTGAAAAATTACCTAAATGACAGTAAGTTTATTTGGAAAGATGCTACTGTTACTATACTATCCACTTAATTATCATGGATCATGCTTTCCCCTGAAGCTCTGTGGTATTGTTTTCCCCACTGAATATTCTCCAAACAGTCAAAGAAATTTAAAACAACATACACACTATCACATTATAGTTTACTTAAAACATTAGGGCTCACTGCCTATCAAACAGGATCGTAGGGCACTGTTTCAATTATTTTCATTAACAAAGCTGTAAAGTTTTCAGATGCTCATCCAGACAGTGCAAATACGTTACAGGATGTTCAGTAATTAGGCTATACATTCTTCTCAGGTTAAAACTATCCAGAGAATCTGGCAATGCACTTTTCCTTTCTATCTATTGATCCTATTTTTAAATCACCCAGATTAACTTCAAGTGGCGTTAAAGGTAACTTCAAATTATTGTAAAAATAGTAAACCAGATTCCCTAGACTTGGGCAGAGCGGCAGCATGTTAATCAGTTCAATACAAAGCATTGTCCAGGGTCTGCAAGACATGAACACGTGTGTAACTTCAACCCCTCCAAACCTGACAAGCCCAGTAAGCAAAACAAGTTAATTTGCTGAGCAGATCTTTTCTGATAGTGAAACAGCCTCTCTTAACAATAGGGAAAGTTAAGCGTATTAGAGGATGACAAGATGAAACAGAAGCTTCCACTCACGTTGCTGCAGTTTAGAAGAATTTCTTTTGCAACAAGAGCAAATGGGAGTTTCCAAAAACTGTGTAGTTCTAAAAGATTCAAGCCAGAGATGAACAGCTTGTTTTAACTATAGCCACTAAGTGGCTGGAAGTTTAGTTTAAGGAAATTAACCCATACAAGGTGATCTTCCAGCATTTGCTTTTGAAAAAGACACTTAAAACTGAAGGGTTTCAGATGTGGGGGTTTCAGATTTGGGCCCACTGTCAGATACAGGAGGCTGCCTGCCTCTGTCCTATTCAGCTGAGCTAATTCTAAGCAGAAGGAGCCCTTCAGCTATGGAGCCAGGGCAATAAACACACTCAAGAACAACTGTTCTTTGTTTTATTGAGTAATTGAAGCAGGACTATAATCCAGGTATATTTAATCAAGTGTTGGTCCATTCTTACCATCAAAAAGAATTCTGTTGATTTTTTTAAATAACATCAACACAAATGGAAGGAATATGAAGCATCATAGTAGGAACTTTTAACTGTACAAGACATTAAACTATTATCAGACTGGTGCTACTTCAGTATTTATAGACTCTCCACTGTATAGACCAGCCACACTAGTGTTATTTATCTCCAAGTCATTAAAGTTCTAGGCAAAGCATCTTTCTGCCTACAGTTCATGTTTGAGCCATCACCATGAGGTCAAAATGCCCTTTGCGCAGCTAAAATCCTAGTCTTGTAGAAATATTTCTGTATTTAATATTTTACTAAAGAGCAATAACTATCCTCTCAAAAGGTACATATAGCCATTATAAATATTTACAACAAACATTTACAACTGGTTCATAATATACAACACAACAATTTAGCTATAATTTCTAATCCTCCAGTGTAAAATTTCCAAACAATATCTTGCTACCATAATTTCAGTTCATCTGTTTTGCACACAGTCACAGGCAGTACAGGGCATCTCTGAAACTCTTATAACATGATTAAAACAAAAACAAAAAAAACCAAAACAGCAGCAACAAAATGGAATGACGTTACCTTAATAACAATTAGATTTGTTTGTTTTCCTTTTAAACAGGCAGATTTCAATTTGCAAATCCAGTCAGGTGCTGCTACTGACTTTTAAAATAGGCTTGAGAGGAAAAGAAAGAAAGAAAGAAAAGAAAAGAAAAGAGGCCACTTACAAATAAATACACCTTTGGAAAAATTCCACATTTAACCATGACAGAATATTTGTTTTCACATAATTTAAAGGAGACCTTACTCTTCATCATTTCCCTGTGCTGGAATACAGAGTAGTTCAATCCATTCTTATCTTCTGGTTTGTCATCCTATAAATAATGCTGTCATACCCAGGATCCATATTCCAGAGGTTGTAGGAGATTACTATCACAGCTAAAGCAAGACCTATCATCATCCACAGAATAATGTTGAAGATTACAGCGTAGTTGTAGTTATAAGGATAGGCAAGGTTATATGGATTGTCTGTTTCGCTCTGTAATGAAGAAAACAAGTGGATCACTTTAAAGTTAGCCTGCATGCAAAACACATTCTGACTACAATAAAAGTCTGAGTAATCTGAATAAAAGATACACATTTTTGTCTAGACAATTCTGATGTTAGGGTACAAAATACAAAAGCGATTATGCGATTGACATTAATGAAATCTGAAGGAATGGCTGCCAGGAACCTCATGAAATTCAATGAGGACAAATGCAAAGCCCTGCACCTGGGACAGAATACCCCCATGCAAATGGAACAGGCTGGGGACTGACTGTTGGCGGCAGATCTGCCGAGAAGGACCAGTTGGTCCTGGTGGACAAGGTGAACAGGAGTCAGCAGTGTGCCCTCGCAGCGATGAAGAAAAACCGCATCCTGGGCTAAATCAAGAGTGTAGGCAGCAGGCTGAAGAAAGCAAATATTGTGACTCAGCACCCATGAGGCAGGAACTTGCAGTACTGCACGGGGGAGCCCAAAACCAGACATAGAAGAGTGACAAATGGGAGAGACACCAGCTGAGGGCCACCAAGGTGGGCAGGTACACATAATACATGAGGACTTTGCTCAGTCTGCAAAACAGAAGGCTGGGTAGGAAGTGAATCTAATTGCACTCTTAACTCCCTAAAAGGGATATTATATAGAAGACATAGCCACATTTTTCCCAGAGGAGCACAGCAAAAGCATAAGCAGTAAGGAAAATTCCAGTAAGAGACAGGGAAAAAAAAGAGTTCTCACAGTGAAAGTGGCAAGGATTTGGAACAGGTTATTCAGAGAGGCTGTGGAACTTCTAACCTTCAAAATTTTGAAAAATTGGCTGGAGAAGGCCCTGCACAGCCTGATCTAAATTAACCCTGCTCTGAGTAGTAGGCTGGACTGGATGACCCCCAGAGGCCCTTTTCAACCTAAATTACTCTGCGATTAAATTAATATCAAGACAGGTAAGTTGACCCCTCTGCACCCATGCCTAAATCAAAATCATTATTCTACATCTTAAAAAAGTTACACTAAAGTAAAAATGTGATGCAGTTTGGATGCATTTATATTTTTAACAGATGAGACATAGAAAAACATGACTCTACCACTTGCGAGGACTGGAGAATGGAGCGAGTCTTCCTCATGAGGGGAGAATTGAATGTCTTTACAGCCACAACTTCTACTACTGCATTTCCACTGTAGAGATTATACATCTCATCTGCAAACTGGAAGAAGAAAGTAATGTAATTTAAAATCAATACTGCAACGAGGAATTAAAAGGGCTTTGTCAGCAAGATGCACTAAACCATGTGTCTGCTTCAGGATTAAGAAGTTTGTGAAAAGTTATAAAAGTTTATCGTGTTCTAGGATGCCACTGAGAAGGTGCCAACTTGCAAGAGTGCCAGCTTGCTGGTTTACAAGACATCTTTAAAACTCCTTAACCACAATTTAGCAGACTGAAGGTTATTACTGCTCTTCCGGCTAGAACAAGTTCTTACATCCCTTTACAAAATGCCCGTGGCTGCACAGTTTCCCAGTTTTATATCTGTCAGTTTCAACAAAATATTTAGGTTCCCAGCCTTCCACTGGGCAATTTTTGAATCTGGGCTAAAAACTAATATTCCAGAGAGGAATTCTGGTCAAGAAGGTATTTCTAGTATTGCTGTACATTTGTGTAACTGCAAAGAAGCTGAAGAGTAGTATTTACAGAAAACATTTAACTGGCCTAGCAAATTTATGCTTTTATGCTCTTCCATCATGCTTTAAAAACTCTCAAACCTGGCTGGTCTCGGCTCTTAATAAAGATTTTATCTAATGATCACGAAAGACTTCCTAGAGAAATTCAGTGTGCTCAAGAAGGTAAGATGAACAGCAGTCATTTTGGCAGCTTAGAAATTCAGATTTACACCACTTTGGGGGCAAGAGGAGACTAACCATTCTACCCCGGAATAATATATTTACTTCCCCATTTTGGAGGGCCAGTTTTGCTGTGATATACTGGTGGTTTTAAATGCAAGATATTTGCTTAGGTAAAGCAGACATATCAGCTCATATTCATATGGTTTTAATGTACTCCTACTCCTTTACACAAGGTATGTAATGTATTGTTGCAGTACAAAAACAAACCCCCCCCCCCCAGCCCTGATTGGTCAGGTCATCACTAATGGTGATAGTTCACAGCAGGAAAACAGTCAATAAACCTGACACCAACTCCTCCGTAGTTAACACATGATTACATAGAAATCTTACCTTTTGCAAAGAGTCTGCAAGAATTTGAGAAGCATCCTTGAACTGCTGAGAATCTTCCCCATACCGTTTTCCAATCTCTTCCAAGCCAGCCAGTTCCAGAGAATACAGGTCTGGCGAGTGATCTTTGGCCAAGTGCTTGTGTCGAGACAGCTTTGGCATACCATTGGGGACAGAAAGAAATTAATTCGTACATAAGTTACTTTGAATACACGTTTTGGCAAAATCAGTTTACTGGGACTAATCCAGTGACACTTTCCACAGTCATATTCCACGTTGACTAGAAAGTGGAATTTCTTGCCAACTTAACTAGGAAGATGTCTTCAAGTAGCTTTTTCTTATTTCACAGGAAAAAAAAAAAAAAGCGATCATCGTGTACACAATCTTGTGTTAGGAACAGATGCTACATGTAACACAGAGCTTTTACTAAAAATAAATTTCACACTTATTTGTATCATAATCCTAGTTCTATGATTGCCATAAAAATAAAACTTAGAGGAAAAATACATAACTCTACAATACTTGGATACTATTATTCCCTCCATTGAAGCTGGCTCTTGCAAAACTGAGTTGGTTGCAACTTTAGCTTGCTGTTGCCCACATACAGAAGTAGTTTACTTAAGAGATCATCCCATCATCATAAGATCCAAGCAATATACTATAACATATCTCAAAGTAGAGCAGTGGTTTCATTTCTACAGCCGTGAAATTGAGGCACTGACATTAGTTTGCACAAGGGAATACAGTCTATAAAAGCCTTTAATTTAACCTCTTCCTATCTTCTGCCTACTTTAACCGTACCACTTCTGGTCTGTAAGACAAAAACAAGTCATTCTACCTCATTTTCTCAAAAGTCTCATATCTCCCAGCCAGCCCTTCCCCTAACGTGAACTTCTGAATTCTTCATGACTGTTTCTTTAAGTAGCTGAGGGGTGCAAAAAGGACAAAATTGCAGAAATAGCAACAAGACAGGAGCATGTTAGTACAAGGATCATAAGAAGCATCTTTCTTAAAAAGCTCAAAATTAAAAGCTCACCTGTCTGCTGGACAGACGGTATTTTTACTACCATCACCATTCACACTACAAAAGTCATCCCGACCTTTTCAGGTAAGGGTCATAGTGACTTTTTGAAGTAAAACAGTGGTCAGGACAAAGAACATGTTCTCAACTACAAAAAAAAGGAAAGTCACAGCCCATTCCTCATTGAGGAATTCCTATGTCTCTGGGTATGGAGAAACAATAGTTTAGAATTTCCTGTTCTCACAGGACCTAATACAAAAGAAATCTACAAGTGATAAGGTTCTCATTTAGTTCTTTCACTGACAGATTCAGATTTGAATTTAAGCCGATTCAAATACCTTGAAAACGCCTTATTTAAACTGATGCAACCAACTGAGGACACAATTGAATATATTTCAGTGTCTGCCAAATATCCTAGTTATGGCTTTTCTACCTTTAAATAAGATGTCTGAAGTTTGAGAAATCAGATGTGAGAAGTGTTTCAAAAACCTTACTTACCAGACTTGCAATATCATGTAGGACTTGTAGTTCGGACAGAAAAAGCAAGTCAACCTGGGGAAAGGAGCACAAAGACAAGACAGGTATTTCCTTCGCTGAAGCTAAAGTAAGGGAAGTCTCATTTTGTTGCAAGTCTCAGTATTTTATAACAGGTTACATCTGTTACAGGATCAGATTATTAAAAGAATAATTGCTTTCTAGCATTAAGTTACTTACAGAGGAACGTAAGTAACTACTCAGTTCTTAGTATTTGGTTAGAAAAAGAAGGGGGAGCTCTCCTAGACAATGCAAGGGGGAAAAAAAAAGCATCAGCTAACATAAGGATACTAGGGGGAAAAAAAGTTTACAAAAGTATCCATCGATTACTGGTTTTTTACCTCATTGTTTCTGCTGAGGGAGTTTAGAGGAAGGGAGCTGAGAATGGAGTTGTCCTGGAATAAGCGGTTTCGCAGTTGGCGCAGTGTGACGGAAAGATCTTCAAATACCGAGTTTGCCTTACCCACCATGTACACTCTCTGCAGGAACAGTCATTGTTTTATTAGAACAGAGGTTCATCTTTAGTTTTTCAAATCACACATTAATGATCAATCACACTTGCAATCTCCCTTCAATGCAAAATATTTCACATAATCAGTTGGTTTTGCTCCAGTCACACAAGTAGAAATGGGTTTACTATTTAGAGTAGCTGGAATCAGAGATGAAGCAATACTCACTTCCTCACTGGGGGCCAGCTGCAAGACTACAGGAGTTTCCTCAGAGAACAACGTATGAATAGCATTTGCAACGCTGTCAAGACTGAAAGGAACAGCCTGAAACACAAAATCTCGTTAGATTTTTGGGTAAAATAGGGCCTAATGATATAAAAGAAGAGAATTTGCTTAACTACAGAAGCTTGGAAAAATAGGACAATCTATTTCTTAACAAAGAGTATGAATACTTTCAAAGTAGTAATAGCAAATAATAGGAGACAATATGCAAAGCAACACATCAGATGTATATCTATCAACAGATTATTTATTTGTATACATGGTAAACAGAGCATTAGGGTTTTTAAGAAGTCCCAGAGGCCATGATTTTGTAATTTAGAGGCTTACTTGAGCTAAAAGTATAGACTCATTTACCAGTGAAGCAAGACCAACAAATAAAAAGCAACACGACAGAAAGGGGGAAACAGAGGTTAGTGCACATTAACAGTTATGAAGCAAAGAAAACTGATGAAAGAAATGTTTCAGCAGTTGGTCTTTCTACTGATACACCAAAGAAAAGAACCATACAAAATATAGTAAGAATAAAAGACATTCTAGCAATGATATAGACCCATTACTGGCAAGCTAATAAAACTGAGTTTTTCTAAGCGTGTATTTCTGGCTTTTATACAGAAAGAAGCAGAATGACACATTCCCTTCCCATTCACTAGTTAAAGAGTATAATCTTTTCTTTAACAGATATCAGTAAGTATGTAGGCTAGGGTAACTTGCACCAGGTGATTCCTGAACGTATGCTCACTGATAATCATTTGAAATTACTCTTGAGTTCTAGGGAACCACCTGGGAACTGCTGCTTTGCTAGCATGCAAAGAGAGCAAACAAAGTCACCCGGGGCAGCTTATTTGATAGCTATGAACAAAATATTCCTGAGGTAACTGATGAACAATTCATCCTTATTAATGGGAAATAAGGAAAATATGTATGAAGTACACCTCAGAAATTTGATAAAGTCACAAATGTAAGACTGCAGACTTGTTTAATTGTATATAAGATAGCCACAAGTTAAGTAAGCCTACAGGGTCCAGCCAACTGACAATCCTAAGTCAGTTGTGGTCCAGAAACCATTTCGGTAATGCCTGCATGTAGCTGTGCCTGAACTAGTGAGCTGTGCTAGAAAGCCAATGTGAAAGCCGATTTGCGTCCAGCTCATTTGACCTGTGCTTGATTTAAAGCCACGTAACATTCTGACTAAAAACTGACAAATGAAAATAGATTTAAAGCTATCTGAGAGTTGTCAAAGTGATTTCACGGGGAAATCCTTCACCCACGTTCGGGTGTGTAGTAGGGTGTCAATATTATATGAAACACTACTGAACACTGTCATGGATAATTCCAAAGTTTGAATAAGAATATTATTTATAATTTTAGCAATGACAGCACAGCAGCTATACAAAGCCAAACTGCATGGTAAACTGGGTACCTACAAAGTTTTCTGACACAGTCAGAGGCAAAATTAACTAGCTAAAGAACAGAGGTTGTACCTAAAGAAGGGGAAGCAAACTGAAAAGCAACTTATTCGAAAAGGATTTTTATTTGAAAAGGAAGAGGAACGTGTCATGCTGGACAAACAGCAGTTTGACATGAACTCCTGGTGCGATACTGCAGCAAAACAGACTCACGCATACAACATATTAGTAAAGCAAGATCGAGCAGAAACTGTACAGTTACAACATTTTGTACAGTTACTGTGTTCCTGTTAAGATGTATGCAGACAAAATTGTATCTCAAATGCGAGAAAAAAGCCTCATCAAAGACTGGATGTCTGTGACAGGCAAATGTAATGTTTTGGGTTTTTTTTTTCCTTTCTTTCTTACTTTCTGACAGAGATATAGTGCAATCAAATTCTATCTCAAAGTACCTATTTCACAGTAAAGTACTTTAAAAAAAACCCAAAGATTGCTTAAAGGAGGACAAGTACATCAAAAAAATCAATAGCATATAAAACGCTATCACATACTCAGCTGAAGCAATCCTGATTATTAAGCTAACATGGAAAGTAGCAGATTCTCTGTGTCTTGGTGCAAACGTACTAAAACTAGATGCCTTCTGAGGAGAACGTGCTTTGGCCAGACAAGTTGCTGAACTTCTCCTGCATTGAGAAGTTGGGTGATCTTCAAAGGCCTCTCATCTTGTACGTGAGTCCGACTGGATTATTTATTGATACAACCTGATCGACAATTCTATGGGGTTACGTGCACTCCAAGTGAACTATAAGAATTACAGTGGAAATTCGTGTACTTCTAATTAGACGACAAGAGTCACAGAAGTTGTGTGACAGTTCCAAACATGCAGATACTCACATTCTCAATAGGGTAAGAAACTCCTTTCACAGGCAATGTCAGCTTGTCCACTCCTTTCACAGTCACCAGCACGGTAGCTCGCGGCCTGTGAAACAGATCACCCACTGCAAGTCCAGGCCAGGAAAGGTCCTATCACAAAACAGTAAAAAGCTTGTATTTCACAGGATGAAAGACAGAGGGGAAACCTTCCCCACCATTACAGCAAAATAAGTGTACAATGTTATTGAGAACAGCCTACTGAAAATTTCACGGGGGAATAAGTGTCACTAGAATGCTTCTTAAAATGCTTCCACCTCGAACAACGCTGTCTCAAGTTATCCATACAGAAACTGTTAGTTTAAAAGCTGTCACTAATTTTATAGCCAAATCTGCGCTGAGAGAGTATTATACGTATTGGATATATCAAGAGTTATTTCCCACAATTAAAGTGGAACTATTTTAGTATGTAGTTAATAACAGAAGCTTAAATTAGAAACAAACAAACAATCTTCACCAAGCACCAGGAAAATATGCTTATGTACAAGAAAACACTAACATCTCGATTTTTTCAGGTGCAGAAAAAAAAAAGGTCAATTATACCAATATCCTATTAATCTAACACTAACAAATTTGCATAGAAACATACAAAAATGCCTTAGTAATTTGCTATAATTACGTACCAGCAAGAACACAATGAAGGCTAGCTGGCTGGCTTATTCAGGCACAAAATGCAAACTCATCTATTTGCCATGAGTTCAAACAGATTTTTCCACTCACGTAAGAGATAAAACTGCCCATTTAAGTTTTATGAAACTAAGTTACGTGGATTTTAAATGTCATTGGTGTTATGATCTGTATCACATACAGAAATAAAAGAAAACCTTTAATTTAATCAATAGGGACAAAAGGAGGTTCAGTTTTATCGTCCCTTAACAGAAGAGGAGTATCGAAGGACTGCTTTCAAGAATCTCCGATTTAATGCAGTAAGTATTCTAAAATCTCTACAGTGCAACCTACTACACTGACAATTTATTTAGAATACAGATTTGATGTAAGCTGCAAAAGGTTTGTTTTGGTCCTGCAGTATCCTCTGTACCAGTACAGGAAGCTGCCTATGGATCTCTACTTTAGCGACAATGCTGATACCAGCTTTCAGTTTCAGGGCTTAACTGAAAAAAGCAGTTTAAAGAGCTTCCTTTCCCACCTCCTTCTCAGATTTCTTTTACTAGTTTCATGCTAGCAGTCATAATTAATTGACAGTGAGACAGTTCCAGAACTTGGGCTGAACAGACCTGCATTCAAATGAGAGTTATTAGACCTTTTGCCTAGCTGCAGTATGAGAAAGATGTGACCTTTCCCACCTCTTATGAGAGCATCCCAGCTTGCAGCTTCAAGTGTCTGCCTGCACACAGGCACGCTTGGAGGTACCTGGCTATTACGCTTTCATCTGCTGCTTCAATAGCCACTCCTCATCCCTTGTGAGGCTCCAGCAAGAAATTCAGTAGGCAAGATGGCATCAGTCCATAGGCTCCCAACTGTCTGCCCTGCTTTACACATTATTAAACTATGTTCAGAAACCTGATTTGGGAAAACACTACCATCAATTAGATTTTCAGATGTTTGGATTACTTCACAAATATCTGTTTCACTGGTTCTTATTAACTATGCTCAGCAGACAAAATCCCTGACCAGCCAAGACACTGATGTTCTTCACGACGCTTGAGAGAGAAGCCCTATAGATTAGTTCACAGGTAGGAAGTGACCGTGGTTTCCACTGTTCTACATGACAGCACATGGGGAGCAATAATATGGTATGTAATTGCCACAGAGCTACTCAAGAACATCCCCCTTAAAGACTCAGCAGGCTTGCTTCCTTCCACAGCTGATGATTCAGATTAACCAACTAGGACAGCCTTTTGCTGCTCATGACTGATACAGCGCTATGCTTGGAAACCACACTTGACAAGTCACGTGTGTCAAGACAAAAGGGAAGATTTTTTGTATATTCCAGCACATGACAGGAAAATTTGCATGCTAAGTAAGCTGGTCTGTAGTTTTAGAGCTGTTTCAAAATCAAGACCTGAAACGTACATCTTCAACAGAAAAGCCCATGGATAACGCAGCTACATCTGGGATCCGCTCGCCAGGGATAGGCCAACTTCCGTCTCGAAAAACCACTGACTGAGGTGATCGTAAGACACTAAATTCATCACCCCACACACCTAAAAACAAACAAAAGAGCTGTCAGTTTTTGTTTCAATCTTTCCCTTACAGCATAGGATTAGAATATATTAGAGTTGTAATTCTTTTTTCATCCCTCTCACACTTAACAGTTTAGGAAACTTAAGCAATGAGAACCTTTCATTTGAATACACTGGAATACAAGACCAGGTTTTGATACAGTAATGAATAAGGATGGACAAATACACATTACCAAAGCAGGGCAATTATTAAAGCAACAGCAAAGTACGCTTCTATGTACTCAATAACAGTTCGTGAACTGATTGTACTACAATTCAGACACGGTAAAGCTAGCTCTCAGTAGAGCTAGGCAGACTTCAACAAACCACCAGCTCACACACAGCTAAGCACCAACACAGCTCTGTTTGCTTCCAGGATTGCTTGGCATAACACCTGTTTTCACACAGACAACAGACTGAGCCATCAAACCCAGAGCCAGCAGGATCAGCCGAGTTTGTCAGTGCTGGCTTCAACAGAGCACTGCCAGGAACAATCTGGCTTCTGCAGAACTGCTCCGGTGCCTCTGCACTGCTTTCTCAAGTAGGAGGTCGTGTGAGGGTTTCCTTCCGTGGATGTGATAACGGACCTAAGCTGATTCTCTAAAACTCAGTCCACAACAGTCATCCTCTTGGATTTTCTCTTACTTAGGATCTCCCTTCGCTCTTTCCTCTACTACCTTGAATAGCAAAGTTGACTAAAAGCGTATTTTTAAAGTGTATTATGAAGATTGTAATTTATTCTGTAATAGACAAGAGTCTATGAAAATAAGAGATCTAAGAAAGGCTTATTTCAACTTACCAACCTATTTTAAAGTTACTTAAGAAGATCTGAAGTTGTGTGTGCAAACAAACTTCTATTGGTCTAGCTAAATCATTTTTAAAAGATGTTTGGTGCAAATTGGTATACAAGCAGTCACACGCACAATGCAAAATTTCAGAATTATCCCCTAGTGAGGAATCCACATGTGTTTTCACCAGAAAACTAGTCATAAGATTATTGAAACTTAGCTACCAATCCAAGCACATATATAAAATAATTTTCCAGTGCATCTGCAAATCTAAAGGCTGTTTACAAAAATAATGCAATAATACACAGATGTGATGAGCAGTTGTAATTTTTTTTGCATTAGTTTAACCAATCTGACCTTGGAGATACTTTTTGTTTCAAAGCCTGGGTCGTGATCACGCATACAAATGTTGACAGTAAATTTGAGCTATGTTATTATAAACACACTAAAAGAACAAAGTACTGTGATACAGGTTGGGGAAGGGTGGCAAAAGAAGGAAATAGGCCAAATCAGCTGCTGTACCTGGAAGAGATTCAAGCTATTTTTTGTTTGAAATTGATATTGATTCATTGGATGATCTACTACCAATCTTAATAATGTAGCAGTCTTTATTTTGAAGGACACAAATGTTTCCAGACCAATTTGCTTAGGAAGCAGCTTACAAAATAGTTATAAATATTTTTCCTCAGCTTATTTGACTTGACATGTTGCTTTAATTCTCCACATGGCTATAAGACAGTCAGGCACTTTACCAAGGACAAGTTGGATTGGACGTATAATACGAGAGCATTCCTCTTTTTAACCAAAATTTTCTTTACTAGGCTTGCTCAAGACCTCAACGAGCAAAACTGAATCTGAAGGCAGGAGCACATGCACTTTCCTCAGGCATGCTCTAATTGCTTGACTACAGTACCTCATTGGGCCAAGGTCTAGAAAGTAAATCTGGAGACGCAATTCATCCAGCATATAGCTCCCTACCCACCTACAGAAAACGTAAATGAACTTCTACCTTAGTGAAATCAGTAGGATTTTAGCTCTCAAATGCCTTTCTGAATCCAGACTGAAGAACTAGGACAGCCCAAACAAAAACTATTTACGAAGCCTGGGAAGTCTTGGGCTCAGATAATAAGGTTGATCTGTACCAGATGACAGAAGGCCTCCAACTATCACAAAAGCAGCTTGGCTAAACATGAAAACCCGTACAAGGTAACAAAACGACTTATAACTTCATAAACCCTCCACACTCCCCTTTGGCAGGAAGCCTCCCACTACAGCCTCTAGAGGAACACGGGCGAGTACCGGGGGGGAGGGG